AAGAGAACTGCAGTGTCAGTGGCTCACTGGGCTGATGTCCACTCCTCCAACAAGAGATGAGAACGCTGTGACATTCCTACCAGTGGCCACCTTTAAATCCTGCATAACTTGTGTGCTACAGCACAGGGTCAGACTCCACAGAGGAGTAAACACTGTTCCCTCAAACAAGAGTACTTCCGGATGGAGGTCAAAAGTCATAACAGTTCTGTAAACCAAACAGATTGCACTAGAACCATATAAAATTATCGCATTACAAACTGGGTTAATTAAAGTTTACTATAGTAAAAAAAAAAAAGAAAGAGAGTTTTTGATTCAGCTAGCATGTAAACAGGACAGACAACCCCCTCTAAATAACAATGTTTACTGCAAAAGAACAATGGACTGCTTTAAAAAGGACTTTTCCCAGTTTGTTTCCACACTTCCTTGGCTCCTTTAATGCTTTCTCTTTTCACACACTTCCAGTAACCTTGAATGCCTTGCTGTTGCGGTACCTGTTAATAAAGTTAAAGTATGTTTAGCATTTACATAACCCCCCCCCCTTTATTCATAGACTGTGTAAATATAATACGTAATGAAATGCTGCTGCTCCCATAGTTTACATGCATTATGACACCTTGCTGGCAGTACTCCTCCCACATTCATAAGCAGGAAGGAATCTTCAGTTTAAAATATAACTTTTTTCTATTTGCTATCTCTATTTGTGTTTCCACCAGCATTAACAAGGCAGCTGTAGCAATCTACAGCTGGTATTTAAAAACAATGTGGTATTTAAAACCAATGATGGCCGCTTGTTACCCTCAAACCTCGATGAATTCGGTTCCTCAGGACTCCAAGAAACTCGCTGTGGCTCAGGCAGTCATCTCCATCTAGATCAAAAATCTTGAAGATGGTATCCAAAACATTATCTGAGAGCTCCTGTCCTGTTGCCACCTTCACTGCTCTCTTGAACTCAGCTAATAAAGACATAATATTATATCACAGGTGACTGAACTTGTAAAGTAACTGAAAAACACAGAAAATAGCAGGATTCTGTACAATTTACAATGTCTCATGAGTATCTTAACTGGAGAATTTGGGATATGTGAACTAGTAAACTATTAGGAGGCCTCAGTTTGTGCATTCTCGAGCTTGCTTCATCTTTCACAACACAATCTTGTATGATAAACTTTTGAAATACACTACTCAAGCAACAGTAAAAGTGATTTTTTGTTACAAACAGCTGCATGCTGAGAACTCATGTACTTTTGGCTGATAACTTGTGCATATGGATGGCAAGTGTTTGCCTCGCTATGATCTCATAAAAAATACCAACATTTTAGCTTGAACCAGTTTTGTGTCAATCCATGCTGCAAGAAGACTCTTCTCAGAAAACAGTATTTTGCAATATGCTCCACCTCAACCAGCAAACCCCTCAGCAATCGCAGAAACACAGACAATTAAATACCCAATGCACTGATTACAGCACATGACTTTATATACCTGTAGGTCTGTATTTTACAGAAGTAGGCTGCCTTCTCTTAAATTACGATGGAAGACTTCATGAGGATTTAGAGCAGAAAAAGCTGTTATACCTCTCTGGAGATCTACTTTCCTTTTCAGCTTTTTGGCCTTCTCTTCAAACCACCATATGCATTATAGTAATATCTACTATGCCCACTTTTGGCCTTGTGGTGTAAAGAATTTGGAGATTTGATTCAAGAAAGTTGAGGAAATGTGTAGGGCTGCCATAAAAGAGCAGCCAGGAAGAGTGCAATGATTACTGTTTATTACAGCAAGCACAATCACAACACATGAATTGGATGCATTTTTGAAGGCATCACAGAAGTGTGAATTTCAAGGAGGGACTGGAGGTTATTAAAGTATAGCAGCATTGTAGATTATTACAGCAAGTTGTCAGACTAAGTCATAAATACAGTAATAACATGGTTCTGCCTTCATAAACAAGTGCTGTTTTTAAACAGTGTTATAAATATGATTATAAATATGATTAATTCTGAAGCTTACTAAAGGAAAGAATACTCTTGACTTAGCTCTCATTTTTGCCTCTTTGAACAATTCCTTTATAAATCCAGTTAATTTATGGTTATTTTAAATACAATTAAGTTTAAAATACTTCTGTAAAAGGATATACCACAATTCAAAAAGGACATGAAATACTGGATGCTTGGGGATGCTGGTGGACAAAAAGCTGGACATGAGCCAACAATGTGCACCCTCACCCCAGAAGGCCAACCACATTCTGGGCTGCATCAAAAGCAGCGTGGCCAGCAGGGCGAGAGAGGGGATTCTGCCCCTCTGCTCTGCTCTGATGAGAACCCACCTGCAGTCCTGTGTCCAGTTCTGGGGTCCTCAATATAAAAAGGACATGGAGCTGTTGGAGCGAGACCAGAGGAGGCCACAAAGATGATCAGAGGGCTGCAGCACCTCCCCTATGGGGACAGGCTGAGAGAGTGGGGTTGTTCAGCTTGGAGAAGGGAAGATGCTGGGGGAACCTTATAGGAGCGTTCCAGTTCCTGAAGGGGCTACAGGAAAGCTGGGGAGGGACTTTTTAGAAGGGCATGGAGTGATAGGACAAGGGGTAATGGTTTTAAACTAAAGCAGGGTAAATTTAGATTAGACATTAGGAAAAAGTTCTTCACTATGAGGGTGGTAGATCAGTGGCACAGGTTGCCCAGAGAGGTGGTGGAGGCCCCATCCCTGGAGATATCCAAGGTCAGGCTTGATAGGACTCTGAGCAACCTTATCTGGTAACAATGCTTACTGCAGGGGGGTGGACCAGGTGATCTTTAAAGGTCCCTCCCAACACAACACATTCTATGATTCTATAACAAAAATGCATTTTTTCTTTTTCAAAAAAAGACACACAAAAGATGTGCAGCACTTACCCCGTTTAACAGGACGATTTGCTACAGTAAACATCTGCATGGCAATAGAAAAGTCTTCCAGGTTATTTGTGAACTTGCAGAAAGTCTTGAATTCTTCCAAACTGATATTCTAGAGTATCACAGAATTCAGACGATATATAATGAATAGCACATTCAAACTCCAGTAAATCTATTTCATTAAATCTAGTGGGACCTAGTGTTTAGGTGTGATTACCTACTCATCATCAATAATTGTATTTCTCAGTTGGCAAATTATCATTGTTCTTGTTTGCATAAAATTCAAGGGCTGCAATAATTCATGGTGAAACTAGTTACACTGTTAGATACTCACATTCAAATGAAAAGCTGTACATATAAACAAGGAAGCAAAACAAAGCATACTTGATGTACCAACCTCTCCTGCCTCAATCCTGTCTTTCACATTCTGCCAGTAGATTTCATTGTTTTCCTCATCAGTGAAGTAGAGCAACCATTCTGCAAAGTCTTCTTTTCTCATGACGTTCAAGCCCTTTGAAAACTTTATGAATTCCATTTCTTGGACTTCTGTTTGCAGATTTTCCATGAATCTAAATGCAAACAGATATTATCCAACAGTCAATCACTGTATCGCTGCTACTACTGCAGCTACTAAATGCAGTATACACTAACTTGTAATCACAGATACTATCGACATCGTTGTTTAAAACGTCACTGGTTTAATTTTACCTGTGTGCGCAGATTTGTTTCCATGGCTGCATTTCAACACTGACACCAGTAGGGTGCTCTCTAAGTCTGCACAGATTGCTGCCACTAGAAAGAGTTTAGATACACTTAACATCTACTTCTCACTAGTGTTTAAAAATGCGCAGGTAGTGAGGTAAAATAATTGGTAAGGCAGTATTATAACGAATGACTGAAAAAGGACATGGTAACTAAAGGCCTGACACATGATTTATGAAATTTCATATTAAGAAGATGGGAATAACAAGGTGGGAAAGTGCCTAGAAAGAGGAGGCCCTAATAATCATAAAGGTGAAAGAGGAAACTTGAAATCACCACTGCAGGAAAATATGAGTAATAGCCTCCAAGATTATAACTGCAAAGAGAGGTTTGGCAAATCAGTTCTGTGCTCGCTGGAGGATGGATTAGAAAGGATTAGAACTGACAGGTACAGAGTTTGCAGGAGCATGGAAAATGATGTTGCAGGTGTTTGGGAAGGTAAGAAGAAAGCTGTCTGAAAAGGAAAGGGTGAACATCAAGGTTTCTAGGAGACAAACATTCTTTTAGAAGAAGAAAAAGTAGCAGAAGAAGCAAGTAACAACCTGCAAGTACAGCACTCGAACCGTAAGCAGAGTTGCAGCTTTGAGTTTCCCCAATTTGGTCTGCGTGGCCATTCTAACTTCTGGCCCGATACTAATTTTGAGAAAGTACAAGACAGTACTGTGTGATCCATTTGGTAATTTCCACTTCAGAAATGTGGAAATCCAAAAACAAGTGATACTTGTAAAATACAAACACAGGCTAAAAACACAGCGATGCTTGCCAGAATCCCTTTAGTACTTCAAAAGAAGCCTGCTTTATTGAGTCGCAAAAATTATTGACAGGAGATAATGAAATACTCCTATATTGGGACAAAGCAATTAGTTGGAGAAGAGGACAGCTAAGGGTCTATGTAGCAAATATCAGTAGAGGCTCATTTGCTCATCAGTGTGTGCACAGCCCCCCTGGATTTGAGTTCTTTCCCCTGAAATGATGGCTTTTTAGCCCGTGCAGCTATCTTTAGTTCTTTAATGAGAACACTTGGACAATTAATAGCTCGAAGCTTTGTCAAGTCTATAAGGGGTCAGCTGAAGACTGCTGTTGCAGCATAAGCTCTCTTCTGTACTTTTTCCTCTAATAATTAGAGCTGCACATGCAAATAAAGGCCCAATAAAGGCTTCAGGGCTCAGGACATGCAGGTAAATGAAAGCCCAACAGTGAAAGTGATTTAAAGTTCCAGGTTAGACTTTTATTAGGGTAATAAGGAGGAGAGGTATGATATGCTCTCACATTTTATAAGGGCCTTTTTCTGGTCCAGTAAAGTGGGTTACAAGGCTTCCACAGCACAGTCAAACACTGAGGTATCTTCCCTCGCAGCCCACTCCAAGACCTGGTTCACTTTCAAGTTCCCTGACTCTCCTTCTCACAAAGGGATGAAATACCAAAGGAGTGGTTTGTGCCACCAGTGCAAAAGAGAGGCCCCTTGTCTTACAGACCAGTGGGAGCCCACTTGCACACCACTCTTTGGCATGGACCAGGCAGGTAGACCAGGCACGGAGTCAGTCCAGCAAAGACTAAGGCCACTTGGCCACATTTTGGGAGGATCCATCTATGGCAAGGAGCAGATGGTATCTGGGATGCGTGGCTTGTGCTTGGATGGAAGTCACAGCAGAGGCCATGCAGAACGGTAACTGCATCTTTCGCTGTCGTTTCCAACCCAAGCAACATCTGGTTTGAGGGAGAAGCTGCTGAAAGTGAGGTCACTTCCAGAAATACACCTACAACATGGATGTAGGGAAGTGAGACATCATGTGTTTTATTTTCTTGGCTTTTAATCTATGAAAGGTGGACCATTTTGTGGCAGACTTAAGGTCTGTTATTGAAAGTATGGGTTATTTATCTCGGGCAGCTAACTCTCAGTCATTTGCTGTACTGCTCAGTAGCCACAAATTCTTCCATCTTCCCTAAACACTGCATTTCCTTAAGCAGAAAACCCTCAGCGAGCAGCCCTGTAGCCATACCCAATAAGGGCAAAGTGGCTGAAAAATCAAGTATTTCTGCATACTGCAGGAGCGCGGTGGCCCACCCAGGCACGCTCATCAGGCAGCTGAAAGATGAGGCAAAGTAAAAGAGGAAAGTGAAGGGTTTGGCTGTGACATTTTGATGTGTCCATCTTCTAGCTGGACAGTGAATGAAGGAGTGCATTTCCCCAGCCCAACATGGGTTTTCCATTGCCTTTTCACACGCCTGGGTTCTTGCCCTCTCCAGTTGCTTTGGAGCAATGACGTTGTGCCCCCCCCTATGGCACAGGAGCTGTGCATCTTGCTGCACTACGGAGGCTACGGAGGGGAGTGGGAGTTACTTTAGGTACAAAATATTAATGGATATTTCATTTCAACTTGTAGGCTTGCTCCTGGCAAGTCAGAGTGGGAAGATTTCCTGCTGTACCAAAAGCTACTTGGAGCAGCAGCTGAAATGTGTAATTTAAAATTTATATATGATGGTCTCCCATATTACAAAAATTAAAATACTATGAATCACCGCATCAGCATTCTAGGTCACTCTTATTCCCAGATGTGAGAGTTAAAAATCCTAATGATTTTTTTTTTTTGGTGAAGGTTATTAAAAGTTATTAAAAATAACTTTCTGGTTAGGAAGTAAAACTTTATACGTAAATGCCAAGACACCACTAGGGATTTTTGCTTTCGTATCTTCTGGATCACAGTGTGATGAGTTTCAGCTGGTAATTCCTTAAAAATTTCTCCACATATTAGGAAAAACAAACATAGGAATGAAATTCCTGCTCTCCCAAAGTCAGTGGGAGCTTGGCTGGGGACTCTGAAGGGAGTCATAATTCAACTTTGGGAACAGGATTCTGATTGTAGATGCACTCTACAATTCAAAAATTACACTGGGAATACATTTATGCTATAGTAGCTTGACAATAAAAGCAAGCCCCAAGTCTCCAAATAACAAAAAGGAAAGGTAAATAATAAATTTATAAGATGGAGAAAACGCTGGGAACAGACAGTACTTTCTTTAAGATAGCCTGGTTTATCCATGTTCTCTAAAACACCCACGTTGAAGGCCAATGGACAAATTTGTTATCGTGTTAAAACAGCATCCAGAAACCTTATCAGGATTTCTCCCTCATTCTGTAATGTGCTCTACTATAGAAAGAGGGAGTCTCTCAAGACATTTTGGCAACTCAGCTTTAATAGAAGTGAAAATGTAATAAAAGCCGGGAGACCTCAGGAATGCAGCGATTCCCCCTCCAACCTGAGATGTTGCAATGAAACGCTAGTGCTGTATTCCTTACAGCACATGAAGTAGTAGAATGAAACACAAAAGGAAAGGTTAGGGAAAGTTTTCTTTCCTACACCTCTTGCCCTGAACTGAAAGTCCACGTAGAGCTTTACCACTCTAATGCAGAAGTGACCAGTTCTTGTTGCGCTGATTTATAGGAGGGAAACTTAACAACAAAGATAGCATGGATACCACCCCAGCATTTGCACTCTGCTTCAGCTCCTCTTTGGATGCTGGAGTCTTTCTGAAGATTTGGTAACCCTCTCTGCACCAAAAGGCTTTTGCCAACCAGCTGCAAGGTTACCTTTTTGCAGTCTGACTTCCAAAACAGAGTACAGAAAATCTCATATGGGCTTGACCATTAACCTTTAGAGAACATTTGGATCTATGCTTATAAATTCAGTTTTGCAAGCTGAAGACAGTTAATCCATCTTACTGTTTGCAGAATTACAGGCAAAACCCTCTTTGATTTACTGTCCTCAATGTTTCCAAACCAAACCAAACCAAACCAAACCACTCACTTTCATTTATAACCATTCTGCAGCAACTAATCAAGCTATTCCTTTGCTAAGTATAGAGGAAAGGAAGAAACAGAGATTCTTCTCAATATCTTTACTGAATATTTGGGAAATATTCAGATTCGGTTATGATAGAAATACACAATCACAAAGCCAGGTTTTGTTCCCATCTCTACTTCCTCACTGTCTGATCCTGGTTGCATGAGATGTGATCTCTATGTGTACCAGGGCTCTGTGTACACATACACACACATAGTTACAAGTGTAGGTACAGAGACAAATAAGGTGGCAATCATACCCTATTTCTATTTACAAATCCCTAGATGAAAATCACTGAAAATGTGTAAGCTATCATCACAGCAAAAGCACTACTGGCTGACAATGCTTCCTGAAAGAGATTCTGCATCCAGGCATTGGCAAAACCACAGAAAAGCACCAGAGCAATGCCAGCACCCACAGTGTGGTTCAGCCTGGACCATTCCGGAGAAACATGAAAGGTTTCAACTGAAAAGTACCAAGGAATTCAGAATACTGATGGAAAGAAACAGGACAGGTAGGGAAAAGGCATGTTTTGTGTATGGTTATACCATTTGTGACCTTCAAGCTGAAGCAGAAAATGAAAAAGAAACCATGATTAAAGAATATTTCTGGGCAAAATTCTATTAACTGATGAGAAGGTTGGAAGTAACAACTCAGGTGAGAAATTAAAAAAAATAGAGAAGAAAAAAATAGGCTACTAATTAATTAATTAAAAGGCATGCCATAAACCGAAGTCGAAATGTAAAATTTTCTTATATGATTAAAAGATATCCATTGTTTAACCATACCAGGAAGCACTTTTTTGTAAGCCCACCACTAAAAAAATACAATGGTCAGAAAGTTTTATGAATATTCTTTCCATACTCTCTGCACATTTTCTTTTCTTTCTTTTTTTTGTGAGATTGTGAGAGATTTAAGCTTGCTTGGGGACAGATTACAGAAAAAAGTATCCTAGCAGTTATAAATTGTTTAGGGAGTGAATTACTGTCTCCCCTTTTATTTGGGATTAGGCATACTTAAACAAGATCAGTAAGGGACTTTTTCAGGGAAGAAAACAGTGGCTGTCAAGAAGAAATATTTGCCATACCTAGAAAACGAAATAGTTTTTGACTCAGAATAAAAAATAGCACATATAATATAGCTAGAAACTGCAGCACAAATGAAACATTTTTTGGAAGGAAAAGACCAAAAATTATTTATGTCTCAAAAACCAGGGGAAACCCATGCAAAAAACCAAAAAGCTTGGAATAACAGAGAACTTCTGGCTTCATGTTTGAAATCTGACATCCTCTAAGGTGGGTCCTCGTATCAGAAGATGATGTTGCTGTTGAGGTATAAAACTCAGTAGAAATTGTTCAGGTCTTCTGAAAGTCTCACCTGGTTACAGCTTCTTGTATTAAATCTACCCTTATTGTTACATGACTTTAGGCTTGCTGCATATTGTTTTGTACTTTCATAAACTGATAGAGGAGAATACTGATTCCAGCCGCATTTGACTAGAAGGCAACACCTTTACTAGTGATGTACATAAACACACCCAGAATAATTTAGATTTACATTTCCTAACTTTTGCCAGGGAAACAAACTGTTGCTTTTGGAGTTGTGCATTATTATCAATAATAATCACATTGTTCCTATGTTAAGGATGGTACAACTGGCAAGAAGCCACGTAGCAGTCGAGCTGGACATGAGTTCCTTAAGTCCTACCTTAAGATCTCTGAAACCACCTTGTTGCTATGGGAAAGACACAGGATGGTCTTTGTGCCATCTGAATACAAAGAAAGGAGAACAGGGCACATTACCTGTCCTGATATATTGACTGTGGCTGTTCGACATTTTTAAAATGTTTGGACTGTGGGCTAAAAGGGTCAGACATCATTGGTGTACACGAAGATACAGATGGTTGCACACTTACAAAAGGATTTTCTGATGTCAACCAAACTGAAAAGGAAGAAGCATAAAGAAAATATATGTAAGTGATGAGGTGAGAAGAGTAGTCTGAGCTTTCTGAACTCCCATGTAAGTACAGTGAAATTTCACAAAGAAAGCATTCCT